AGAGAAGTTTGTTCCACTGACTCGTAGAGAGGAGTTGTGTAAGGAGTTTGAGCAGTTACGTCAGGGGGAAATGACTATGACCCAATATGAGATGAGATTTGTAGATTTGGCACGTCATGATATATGGTTGGTTCCCACTGAGAGGGAGAATATTTGGAGGTTCATTGATGGCCTCAACTATAGTTTGCGTTATAGTTTGGCTCGAGAAGCTGAGACGGATGCTAGGTTTGACAAGGTGTTCGAGATCGCTAGGCGCTTGGAGCAGGTCTGTAGGCTTGAGCGTGAGGAGCGAGAGGCCAAAAGACCTCGTGCTTCAGGTGGATCAACACTGCCTTATTCGGAGGCTAGACGCAATACAACAGAGGTCATCAATATAGGCCCACTCAAGCAGCTCTTCATGTTCCTCGTGGTGCTTCAGTTAGCCAGCGTTCACACAGTGCTCGCCCAGCTCACTTTTCATTCAGTGCAATGGCGGCATAGAGTTCCTACTGTGATATATCTGATCAGGGTTCTACGAGCATCTATATTTGAGTCTCTCGCTCTGTTCCTTATTCTGTGGTATCAGAGCCAGCCCACTCTTTGGAGGGAGGAACAGTTTACTAAATATGTCTTAGTTATTTCCATCATCCTCTTCCCTTGCAAAAATGAATATGTCCCCTACTTTATATAAAACCTTGTCCAAAAAATATGATTACCTCTATGAAGTACATATCCTTCCCGACAAACAGAAAGTATCCTCTACTGAACTACCCCTCATAAACCCTTACTCAGCTTTTGCCAAAAAATCATTTGCACCCTGGACCCAAATTTGTTCCTTAGTCCAACACAGACCAAAAGGAGTCAAAGAATATGTTGCTGCCTCAAAACTTGACCAGCATCCTATTCTTGCCACTCGAGAGGAACAATTTATCACCCTTCAAATCCCAGATAATTTTCCCAGATAATGGAGAGATCATGGTTTTACCCATATCCATTTTGGTTCTAGCCGAATCGATTTAACATATCACGGAAGAAAAGGTCAACCAGTTGTAGCTCGACTTTCTTTTCTAGATACAAGATAGGAGTACCAACATGCAAATTTGGGTACTGCAGAAGTTACCTTGAATGCTGGGACTGTCTTCATAACTATCTTTCCAAATTTTAACATGTCCCTTTATGACCCATACTTAACTGAAGCACTAAAAATTCAAGTCCAAATCCAAGGAGCCCCACAAGCGAAAGATTCCATCCAAGCCACTCTTCATCACCAATTGGCATGGCGGGTCCAAAATCATGCCATGGATCTCTGCCTTCCTAGAGGAGAAAATGCTTTACTCTTTAATATTGATGCTACCAAAGGAAACACCATGTGCACCCAAATACCCAGACAAATTTCCAGAGATGAACTAGTTAAAATTCTCCTTGATTCCTAGATCACAAATTATGAAAAGTTAAGGGAACCAGAAGAATCTCTGCAATCGGTGAGCCAACTTTTACCAAAAGAAATGACAAAACCGTTTCCATAAGCTTCGACCATTCCCATCTCAAAAAACCTAATAAAAAAAATCTTTTCTTGCCAAATGATCCAACCCAAAGATACAAACCCTGATCCTAAAAGTGAACCCTTCTGGAATATACAAGCTATCATGGAAGAACATGACTGGTGTCAACATTTCAATAAAGAAGGTAAACAAGTTTGGTGGTTCAAATTCCCCTACACGGGACACTATCCATGGGATCTTGGTTGCAACTGCCAAGACTGTTTGGAAGATCCAATTGGAGCAACTGATGAACACTACTGGGAAGATAGTGAAACCACACCAAAATCCAAACCACCATCAGCTCATACCCCAAAGTCCAAAAATCCACCTGAACCTAAAACGCCATCAACCTAAAAGTCCACACAATCACAAATATTCATGTTAATCCCTTCAAGCTCCAGTCATACCCAAGATTTTCCTTCGCTTCAACCTTTTGAAAAAGAGGGTATAAGCCATGCTCCAAAAATTCCCAAGAAAAACATAGTGCTACCTACTGGAGAAAAAAACCCCAACAAGTGACATAGAAGTAACAATGAACTAGCAATCAGAAAATTCCATCTCCCAAAACAAAGTGTTGAACAACATTGGCAACACCATAAAGAATGTCGCCCATACACAAAACAAAATGATGAGCAAAGTGGAAACTATTGAGAAAAAGGTGGAGCAGACATCGTCCCACCATGCAGGACTAATCAAAGCCTTGGAACTAAGGTTGGCAAATTTACAATATGACATTTGTCCGCCAAAAACTTCACTTTTCCAATTCTTCCAAAAACAACAAAAGGAGACGATTTCCATCAGAGAACAAATTCAACTTCTGAGAAATGACCACTTTGAGTCACAAAAGACTCCAATTTTCCCCTCAAAACCTACCTTCTTCCCTATGTCATCACAAGCTTATTCCCCACCTAAATTGGACTCCACCTTTTCTACTTTTCCCACTACCTCACAAAATCCTATTTCTTTCACCGAACCCTTAAAACAAGAACATGCTTTTGATATTGCAAAAATGGTTTGGGAAAGGAAAGATGCTCTTGTGGCGCAAAAACAAACCAAGAAAAGGCGAGATCATGGTGAAAGTTCAAAAGGGTCCAACCTCGAAAATTTGATGATTTCTTATCAGGAGGCTCCAGACCTCTATGTCTCCCAACCAAGAAACATTTCAGAAGGCGATACCACATGGTCGGAATCTCTAAATTCATCAGACCATGAAACAATGGAAGATAGCTCTCAATCAAGCAATGAATCCACAAAAAACTCTTCCAAAGATCACGATCCCCCAGTATTTGCAAACCAGCCAAGAGACCCAGAAATATCTGAAGTAGATGAGGAACAAGAAGTTATGACAGATGAACCAATCCCAGAAAGAAGATATGAGCCCATGGCATCAAAACCAATTGGAACTGGTTTCCACACTTTCACCTTAGATGACGTCAAGGTTTGAAAATGGCCTCAAAGAATCCAAGACTTCTATACTTGGATGGTGATCAAAAATTTGGTGGAACGAGAAAAGTATATCATCCTATCAGAACTCACTTCACGGTTCTCAAGAATCCTCAGAGATTGGTGGAACTCACTTGGAATTCAAGACAAAAACACTTTTCTTACTTCCCAATACTTTGCCTTCAACATCAAAATAGTACATGAAGTTTTCTGTGGAGATACTGGCCAAAGACAAGAAAAGATGCGAAGATAACTCTTCGAGATGAAGTGTGTGTGATTCGACATAAACAATTTGACAAGAATTTTCAAAAGATGGTGAAGATATACTTCGAGATTGGTGGAGACACAATCTGAAGCAAGCCTTTGTCTCTTCCCTTCCAAAGTTGTTGGCAAGCCGAACCATGACCATCATTTAAGAAAAGTGTCAGTCCATAACAATCCCACAAGTTGGCTACATCAGGCAAGCTATTTTTGTCGCATCGGATGACATTTGTATGAAGCGCTCTGCCCTAATACAAATTATCCAGCACAATCCAGCACTTGACAAAGCCTGCCGTAAATCTGATCTGATTACCGGATCGGGATGTTCCTGCCACACATCCAGGCAACAGAAAAGATTCAGGATGTTCAGATGGACAAGAATTCTAGATGGAAAATCAAGGTCCAGGAGGCGCACAAAATATTTCAGACGAAGGAGACCAGGAAATCTTCACAAAAAGAACATATGCTTTATTTGCCACAAAATTGGACATCTCGCAAGAAATTGTCCCCAATCGAGGAAATCTGTCAAACCCTTGCAAGTAATTGAGCGGAAAAGAAGAAGACCTCGAGTCCATATTCTTTATAGATGATGAACCCACTGAAGAAACCTTATTCTCTCTTGATATATACGAATATCATGGTGATGAACACTATCAAATTTCAGAACCAGCAATTAAAGCCCAGGAAGAGATCAACGCTCTCATAGCCATCCCTCAAGTAGAACTCAAGGTTTATTCATCCAAATGGGATAAACCAACTCAAGTCATTGCTTTCATTGACAATGGAAATGCTTGTTCACTTATGAATCCTGCTGTTCTCCCTGAAGATCAATGGGTACGACACTTTAAGGATTTCAAAACTTCATCAAATGGAATCTTGACTACCACCGTCAACACGAAGCACTCTGCCACAATTGACTTCTTTTTAGGATTGAAGTACAGAACCAAGCTGATAGGGTCCGATGTACTAGGGAAAGATCTTATTGTTGGATTCGACAGTTTCAGACAACTAAAAGATCAACTCCAAATTAGAGCTAACAGGATAACCTTTAAGAAGCAGTTCAAATCACCGATTGAACAAAATCAAGGAGATTGAACAAATCAAGGAGATTGAACAAAATGTCATTGAGAATTCATGTGCTGAATCCCACAAGGATTTTATGAAGAAAGGGAAAAGCCCGTTATGGAAGAACGAAGAGCTTTTATAAAGCTCCCTTTCAAGAAGAATGAAAACATCAATCCAACAAAAGCCAGCCATTCAGGCATATCCAGATCATCTTCTGCTTGTAAAGAAAGAATTTTAAGAACTCGTGGAATTTGATCTAATATAGCCATCGGATTCACAATGGGCATGTGAAGCATTTTATGTCAACAAAAGAGCTGAGCAGACAAGAAGAAAACTCAGGTTAATTATTAACTACCAGCCACTTAACCATTTCCTCCAATATGTTAAATTCCATATCCCAAATAAACTCACTCTTCACTTAGCCAGGGCCAAATATATTTCCAAGTTTGATCTTAAATCTGGATTTTGGCAATTGGGAATCCACCCCGAAGAAAGAGCCAAAACGGAATTTTGCATCCCTGATCATCACTTCCCGCTCCCTCCTTGTTCCAGAAAGCCATTATAAAAATATTCCAGCCCATCCTCCATACCTCTTTAGTTTACATCGATGCCATCCTGTTATTTAGTGATACATTGGAGGAACATGTCAACTTGCTTCATCAATTTGAGGCATTGGTAACACAGTATGGGATCATGCTTTCAGCAAAAAAGATGGTTCTTGCTCAAAAGGAGATTGATTTTCTCGGAATGCATTTTGTCCAAGGTGCATATAGTCCAGGACCACATATATGCCAAGAACTACTCAAATTTCCAGATACCAGCCTCACAACAAAGCAGATCCAACAGTTCTTGCGTGTAGTAAATTATGTAAGAGATTTAATCCCAAATGTCTCTATATACATTTCTCCACTCACAGAGATGCTGAAGAAAAATGCTCCATCGTGGGGAAAGAAACAAGATGAAGCAACCAGAGAAATAAAGGAGATATCTAAAAATGTCAAGTCCCTCTACATCCCTTCAGAAGGCAAGAAGATACTGCAAATTGATGCCAGCAATGAATATTGGAATGCCGTTCTATTTGAAGAAAAAGATGGCCAGAGGAAAATATAAGGATATGCTAGATGAAAGATCAAAGATGCCGAGAAACATTATCACTCCACTTTCAAGGAAATTCTTGCAGTAAAGAAAGGAATCAAGAAATTCAATTTTTTCCTTATTCATACAGAATTTCTGATAGAGATGGATATGAAGGCCTTCCCAACGATGATCCAGATAAATGCAAAAATTATTCCCAATCCTCAGATTCTCAGATGCGCTCAATGGTTCTCTCCATTCAAATTTCAAGTCAAGCACCTAAAAGGAAAGGATAATATTCTCGCAGATTTTCTATCTCGACCGGAAGAATTCTCAAAGAGATTTTCCCCAACGAAGATGATTTCAAAGAAAAACTTAACCCGCCACATCTTCATATTTTTAAATATACCAGGAACAAGTTCATTGGAACCAAGGGATCATCCACCAGAGTTGTTCTACCACATGGATCCCTTTGATCCATCAATTTTAATGGAAAGAAGAACTTATTATGAGCTCCAAGTTTTTCGGCAACATGGAGGATCCATTCTTAAGACTTATAGGGTCAACCCAGAATATCCATTCTGCTATATATTCATAGCACAAGCCAAAGATTTTCCATAAGAACTATTATGGTTTTTCTGGTACCTATGCCATCAGTATTATATTTTCATGGAATTCAAATGCAACGTCTTCAAGGATTTTGATAACATTGAACCAGCTCTTAATGTATTTTTACTATGGTTAAAGCCGAGAAGATATTGGATAAAATATTTCATCGATTCCTACACAGCAAAGGTACTCATGTTCCATAGGACAATGAAGATTATTAACGGAAAAGTCCAGGCGCAAGCAAAGGCATCTTTCTGGTGGAAATTTCCCTTGTCCATTTTATCCATGGAAGAAGAAAATAGTGAAGCACAATGAATTATCTTCCAGCAAAACAGGTGCATCCCGAGAGAGATATGGACAAATGATTGGGCAAGCTGGAATTATACCAGCACTCATCCGCACTAGTAAAGGGTCCGGAAAGCAGCAAAGGAAGATCAAACCGCATACAAGGTCATCCGAGAAAATATCACTCACGACATCTCCAGATTAAGGTTGCGGATTACATCTCTCAATCCAAAGGAGAAAGAATACAGCAAAGAAGGACCATCAAGTTCCAAGCGTTACTACACAAGGTCTTTGAAAAGATGCCTAGAAGACAAACCTAGAGAATCAATGGAATATAATTATCTAAATCCCTACTAATCCTAGCATAATCCTACATTACCTACCCAAATAAACCCTAATAAATCATCTACCCATGCCAAGACAAATTTCCACATCTTTCCACACTATCCGGGCCCCACTTCCACTTGCTTTCACATGTTTCGTCAGATGCAACACCCTACTTTCACATGCCGTCACATGCTCCCGCATGCTTTACATGCTATACCATGTATATTTCACCTCTTTCACATGTTTTCAGGAGATTTTTAGTTGCTTTGCCTAAGGTCCTTCACATGCCAAAAGGGACCCACTTGTATATAGGTTTGCTATGTAAGATAGGTTTATTTTGTAATATAGGTTTGTCTTGTAATAACCTCCTAGTCCTATATAAAGGAGACTATGTAGTAGTTGTAAGATCATCTAGTAACCTTTGAAAATCTTTGTGATATATTACATATGAGTTCTTTCTAAATTTTCCTCTTGTTCTTTTTTTCGAATGGATGGAAAGGACGGTCCATGTATGAAAATAGAGTAAAAATTCTCTAAGAAAGTTAGCTTATTGTAGTACGAAAGCTTTCTGAGTTATAACAGCTAAAGTTGGTTATAGTATAAAAGTTTTTTGAGTTGTGTAGCTTGGCAAGTTGTCCCTTATGGGTTGTTGAAGCCAGCCCCTTCATAGGAAAACTTTTGCGACTATAAGCAAATTAATTGTTTGTGTAGCTTGGCAAGCCGTCCCTTATGGGTTGTTGAAGCCAGCCTCTTTGTAGGGAAACCTTTGTATATATGGTTAAGTTTGCTTTCTTGGAGTCTCTTGCTCTGTTCCTTATACTGTAAAGAGAGATTGCCCCATACTATTGAGTAGGGTCCCATAGAAGAGCACTCACCTACACAGCCAGCTAGGGGTGGGACTCGGGCAGTTTGAGGTCGCCCTAGAGGGGGAGGTCGATCGGCTGGTGGTCAAGCCCGTTGCTACGCATTTCTATTCAGGCCAGAGGCATTTGCATCCGATTTTGTGATCACATGTATTGTTTCAGCGTTCCACGGGGATGTTTCAGTATTATTTTACCCAGGTTCCACCTATTCATATGTGTCATCAGACTTTGCTCATTATTTGGATATGCCCCGCGATTCTTTAGTTATGCATGTTCATGTATCCACATCGGTGGGTGATTCAATTTTTGGGGAACATGTGTATCGGTCGTGTGTGGTGACTATCGGGGGTTATGAGACGAGAATTAATCTTTTACTACTTAGCATGGTTGATTTTGACGTGATTTTGGGCATGGATTGGTTGTTGCCATAACACGCTATTCTGGATTGTCACGCCAATATCGTAACGTTGGTGATACTAATGTTGCCTAGGGTTGAGTGGAGAGGTTCCCTGGATCATGTTCCCAGTAGAGTGATTTCATATTTGAAGGCTTAACATATGGTTGAGAAGGGATATATGGCATTTTCGGCTTTCGTGAGGGATGTAGTGTTAATGCTCCTACCGGTGAGTCAGTTCCATTATGAGATCCTTCCTATATGTGTTTCCTATAGACCTGTCAGGCATGTCACCCAATAGGGATATTGATTTTGGTATTTATCTTGTGTCGGGCAGTCAGCCCATTGCTATTCCGCCCTGTCGCATTGCACCAGTTGAGTTGGAGGAAGAAGGATTGGTATTATGAGGATGTGTATTGACTACAAGCAACTGAACAAAGTTACAACTAAGAACAAGTACCCACTATCATGCATTGATGATTTATTTGATCAACTTCTGGGTGCTAGAGTGTTCTTGAAGATTTATTTGAGGTCGGGGCATCATCAGTTGAAGATCCAAAATTCAGATATTTTGAAGACGGCTTTTAGGACCCGCTATTGTCACTATGATTTTTTGGTGATTTTTTTTGGCTGACTAATGACCCAGCAGCCTTTATGCACCTGATGAACAACATGTTCCAACCATATTTGAATTCTTTTGTCGTAGTATTCATTGATGATATATTGGTGTACTTACACAGCTAGGAGCATCATGAGCAGCATTCGAGGATCATACTCCATACGTTGAGGGAGAAGAAGCTACTAAATTCTCCAAGTGTGAGTTTTTGCTTGATTCAGTGACGTTTTTGGGCACGTGGTGTCTAGTGGGGGGATCAAGGTAGATACAAAGAAGATTGAGGCAGTTTAAACCTGTCCTAGATCGTCTTCAGCTATAGAGATTTGGACCTTCTTGGGTTTGGCAGGTTATTATCGCTGTTTCATTGATGGTTTTTCATCCATCGCGGCTCCTTTGACTAGATCACAAAAGGATGCTCCTTTTAGATGGTTCGACGAGTGTGAGGTGAGCTTTCAGAAGCATAAGACTGTATTCTACAGCACCAGTGTTGGTGTTGCCTACAGGTTTGGGATTTTACATCGTGTATTGTGATGTATCATATATTTGGATTGGTGCAGTGTTGATTCGGGATGGTAGGGTAGTTGCCTACGCATCCCGACAATTGAAAGTCATGAGAAGAATTACCATGTGCATGACTCAGAGTTGACAGCCATTGTTTATGCGCTGAAGATTTGGAGGCACTATCTATACCCATTCCTTGTGAGTTCTATACTGAACAACAGAATATTCAGCATCTGTTCAAGCCAAATGACCTTAATTTGTGGCAGTGGAGATAGTTAGAGTTGTTGAAAGACTATGATATCACCATATTATATTATCCAGGCAAGGACAATATGGTTGTCGATGCATTAAGTAGGAAGGCTGAGGGTAGCAGAGAGACCACTAGTCATGGATGTTCAGGCTTTGGCCAGTTAATTTGTGATATTGGATGTTTCGGAGCCTAGCCAGATTCTTGCTTGCGTTGTGGCACAGTCATCATTGTTGGGGAATATCAAGCCTCATCCGTTTGATGTCCTCACTTCTTGATGGTGTTGAGGGACACGGTGCAGCGGGGTGGTGCTAAGGAGGTTGTGATTGATGGTTATGGTGTTATACGGCTTTAAGAACAGATTTGTGTTCCAAATGCTGAGGGGTTGAGAGATTTGATTCTTGAGGAGGCTCATAGGTCGCGCTATTCCATTCACCCAGGTGTCACGAAGATGTACCGTGACTGGAAATAGCACTATTGTTGTCGGAGAATGAAGAAATATATTGTTTCTTATATCTCTCGGTGTTTGAATTGTCAACAGGTGAAGTATAAGCATCAGAAACCGAGAGGGTCGATTCATAGTTTGGAGATACCAGAGTGGAAATGGGAGCGCATCACTATGGATTTTGTGGTAGGCTTACCACATACCTTGAAAAAATATCACACAGTATAGGTTATTGTGGACCGCTTGACTAAGTCTGCACACTTCATTCCGGTAATGACTACCTATTCTTCAGAGCGGCTAGCTCATATATACATTCGTGAGATTGTTCGCCTTCATGGTGTTCCCATGTCTATTATCTCATATCGAGGCACTCAGTTCACATAACAATTTTGGAGAATGGTACAGCGAGAGTTGGGCACACGGGTTGAGTTGAGTACAATATTCCATCCCCAGTAAGACGGGCAGTTCGAGCACACTATTCAGATCTTGGGATATGTTAAATGCATGTTTCATTGATTTTGGAGTTTCATGGGATTAGTTTCTTGCATAGCAGAGTGCGCCTACAACAACAGCTTCCAAATGAGTATCCATATGGCTCCTTATGAGGCTTTATATAGGAGGATATGTCGTCCTCCTGTTGGTTGGTTTGATCCTGGGGAGGCTAGCTTATTGGGCATTGATTTAGTCCGTGATGCCTTGGAGAAGGTGAAGGTGATCCAGGAGCAGCTTCATGCAACACAGTCCAGACA